AAAGTTTCTCCTATTATGTCACATTAAAACAACTAGTAAGAATGGGTAAGAAACTCTCAGACCAAGGAGGGCCCAGAAGACCAGGAGAAAACACAGCCAACTAGCTTCCCTACTTGTAGCTCAGCAGGAACTGGGAAGAGAAAAGTGTTTAAAATGGGCCCTTGATGGGAAGGATGGGACAGTACAAAGCAGACAGGCTTAGAAGACTTACCTCTTCCTCAGTTTCTCCAAAAACTCTGGCCTCTTCAGTGCCTCCATATCCCCTCTGTGTTGGTGATGGAACCCTTGCCTCCTCCCACTCCCACACATCACTTAGTTCTTGGGAAGGTCAGTACCAAGAAAGCTTTAGAAAGAGAGCCATGGTGTATTGTGTTCTTGGAGGCTATAGCTGCTCCCGTCTTAGACTCAGACTCAGGAATTGGCCAATGATAGGAAATCACACAGAAACTCACCAGATGCCCCAAACAATAGGAAACAGGAAGCTGACATAGCATCACAATCTCTTTATTATGATTTCCACTGTGTTCACCCCCTGGAGCATCAGCTCCTTCTAGAGTGAAAGCTGAGCGTGGGGAGGAGCATGCAGCTGGGATGATGCGGAGACAGGGCTTGGGGATGTTCCCCTCAGCTACTGTCAAGTTACCTTCCTCAGAGAAGCACATAGGAAGGGCATGAAGGACCACAGGACATAGGATCCCCCACTGTTACTCGAGTGCTCTCAGAACCCACCTCACAAGCCTGAATTTGGCTGAGAGACAGCATCGGCCATCTTTTAAAGGAGGCTAAGATATGGAAAGGCCTTGATACTTATACCTTGTTCATATCCGTGGACACACCAACCCATTCTGTACACACTGTGATTAGGCTTCTTAGTGGCCCAGACCAGACCTTTCACCGTCTCCATGATCTGGGTCATCAGGGCATGTGGCCCAGAGGGAACAAGGTTTTCCTTAGTGCTAGTTGGGTCGAGTGGAAATTCTATAAGCTGTTTTTGAAGGTTGCCAAAAGCAGTGGCAGCAGAAAAGCAACAGCAGGGAAAGTGCCCAGTCCAGGCATGTGCATTAGTATCCTCCACTCAGGGGGATCTCTATTGTCTAGGCTGCAGGCAAGAGCCCAGAAAGAGGTCCTGGGCAAATTCAAACTAAATGGCCTGGAGAAAGTAGCAATGTTATTCCACTGTAATAGAGGTGAACGGGGTGCGGTTACAGGTGCTGCCAGGATGTCCTGAAATTGTGGCATCAAGGTTGTTCTGCCTCATAGCGCCTTTACTCTGCTGGTTGGAAGAGGACATGCTTGCAGGGCCACTAGAGCCTGCTACCAGTCCTACCTGGAGGTTACTCTTGGCTCTGGGGTGGTCAGGGCTGGTCTGGGGCCCTGCCAGACAGCTTCTGCTGAGCTTCCCTCTTGGCTTTAGGGCTTCCTGGCATCACTCTTACTAAAGCTGTGAGACCTGCAGTGGTTGAGGTTGTGCTTTGGCCTACGAGGCCCAGGCACAAACCTGGGCTTACCCCCCATGAGGTGTCCTCTTCCCAGGCAGTTTGATTCTGTGCTTCCCATATTGGTGATAGGAATGGGGGAACCCCCAGAGTTGGCCACTCAAACAAGGCCAGGGTGACATCCCACAGGGAGCACCAGGGCCAGAAAGGCCACTGTCAGCCCTGCAGCCCCGGTCACTCGGGCTGAGGGCAGGAAGAGGCAATGTGCTCATGGCTTTGGCTGTGGCTGTCCTCGAAGGAAGAAGAGCACTTGAGAGTGGGTCAGTACCTAGGAGTGAGGGAGCTGCTCCAGCCCTGGGATCCAAAGCGATCATTGCTCAAAAGTGTAGAGCCTGGATCTGTTGGGGAAGGCTGGTCTTAGCACAGGAAGCCACGGAGCAGACCTAGAGACATCATAGCTATAGCTACTGTCTCAGCTGACCCTCTGTTGCTGCAGCTTCATTGTGTCATCCAGAGGTCCCTGTCCTTAAAAAGAGGACAGTTGGGTGAAAAACAGGCCTAGGGCAGATGGTTTTCAGAGGAGCATATATGTAACTCCAGCTTCTCTTGGTGGGGGGAGGGGGGAGTTCTTGGGAAAAGCACTGATCTCAGTTTTGGGCTGCCAAGAAAAGACTGAAACATTTTCTCTTATCCTTATTAGAGTCAGACAGCAATTTTTGTGCTTGGCAGAATTTCAGACAGTCACAGTGATGAAAGGGCTTGAAAAGGATAGAGAATTGAGTTCACTAGGTTGATAAAAGGGCTCCATGGATTAGGACACTACAAAGGGAGATCCTGAGCAGGGGCTGGGGTGGGGCTTCTGCAACGCTGGACAGGGAGGACTATGGGACCTCTCCTTTGGTAAAACATTAGATGCCTACAGAGAAGAAGCTGGTTGCTTTTCGATGCTTTTCTGCTTCCTGGGACTCCTGTGGACGGGGGACTCTACCTTTTGCTGCGGGCAATGTCCCCTGGGCCCTCTGCAGCATACCCCCACCAAGGAAGCTTGCTGTCCTGGAATAGGGAGAGGTGATCCCAGATGGGCCCGATCCTGTTGTGGAAGAGCTCTGGGGTCTGCTTTGCCAGGCCGAGGGATCCAGCCAGCCTGACCTGGCCCATGGTCTTTCACCACTCACCCATGGAAAGCCAGAAGCTGCATCTCCAGAGAGACAGGCATCCCCTTGATCTGTAAAGGTCAGGGAACAAGACGGTAGACTTCTAGTCCCTGTGACTGATGATGAGGCAGGAGAAAAGAAGCTGTCAGTTCTCAAAGTCCAGAGCGTGTCTTTACTCAAAGTGCCCTGTCCACGAGATCCAGCAGCCCAAGGCCATTGATGTAGAAAGTGATTTGCCAGGAGAGTAAGCAGGAGGCCCTGTGCTTAATGTGCTTTAATCTTCTTAGGCCTGGCTGCTTCAGATGCAGTCCTTAGCCCGAGTCATGTGCTTTCTCTTTCTTTTCTTTCTTTTGGCTGGGCTGAATAATGATACTGATCAGTCCTGAGAGTATGGGTAAGAAATATTTACAAAAACCTGTGGGTTTTGGACCTGGCCAGTGTGTTCGTTCAGTGGTTAGAGCATTGGCTTGCGCAGTGAAGGGCTGTGGGTTCAATTCCCAGGCAAGGGCTCGTACCTGGGTTGCAGGTTCAATCTCTGGGCCCAGTCAGAGCGCGTTTGGGAGTCAACCAATCGATGGGTCTCTCTTACATCAATGTTTCTCTCTCTCTCTCTCTCCCCCTCTCTTCTACTCTAAAAATAAATGGAAAAAATATCCTTGGGTGAGGATTAACAACAACAAAAATCAATATTAAAAACTGTGGGTTTTGAATTTTCCAGGGTCATATACACGAACCCAGTCTCATCTTCTATCTGTCTCATTTTAGTCCTAAATGATCCAACCCCAGAAGCTTCTCTCCCTGCTTCCAGGTCAGGCAGTTTCTTCAGGAGACCATATGCCATACTCCTGGATGTGGCTCCCCCCTTTCCTCTAAGCATCTCAACACTGAGCTGTATGCTGCTGCTTTTGTAAACATCTAATTTAGTACAAATTACTTGAGCAATGGAGATATGTTAGCTTCTGCATATAGAGCCAACCCCCTCTCAAATAACTCTTGGTAGTCAGATCTGGCAGCAGCATAAACCTGCCATTAGGTTGGGAACAGAAACCTGAGCCCAAGGACCAGGGCTGACCCACAACAGGCACTGACTTGAGAACTTAGGAAGGATTCTGGGGCTTGGAGGCCAGGCTTGGTGGCCTTGTGGCAGCCTCTGCTTGTCCCCAAAGGTCTCCCATTCTAGGCCCAGGCCTTATCCTGGTGGAGAAGAACATGTAGCAAACAGTGGGGAGAAGTAGCAACTCAGGCCGTATCTCAGTGACGGGAGGAGAGAAAACTGAGTCCTTCCGGGAGGCTTTGCTGGAATTGTATCCGCTCAAGAGAGCTGAGATGCAAATCCTCCTCTTCGGTCCAGCCTCTTATCCTCTTTGCCAGGGTGGTTGAAAGAAGTCCCTCCTCAGAGTTCCTGTGGAGCTGTTCTTTCTTGGTCTGTGCAAGAGGCTGTCTGTTCTCCACACAATGGCACGCTTTCCTAGGTCTACAGTCGAGTTGAGCTGGAAGGACGGAAAAGCATGAGCCTTCGCCTCTTTTCTCCCATCCAGACCTTGTCCTCACTGGAGCTCAGGCTGCAGGTCTCCCTGGTAGCTGACTTGGGTGAAGCATCTAACACAGAGGGCTGTGACTCCTGCCATCATACTTACTCCATTCAGGCCCCCTGGGCTCTGGGCCGTGAGCTCGCATCTGAAAAACAAGGGCCAGGATGGCTCACCTTGGTTTTTGACAGCTCTTCTAAAGACTTTTAAAGGACTTGAATGACCTGGCTGAGAAGTTCCTAGACTTCTGGGTCCCTGGGAGGGACTGCCTCCCCCTTTTCTAATTAGGAGTCCACAGACTCGTTACCTTCTCTGTTACCAGGAATTGGAATTTAAGTAAATCATGTGCTGAAGTGCAGTGGTGGTTTTTAACCATTTCCCACCCCAACACCCCTGAGGGACATAGCACACACCTACTAGAACAGTGGCTCAGCACAGGAGGGATTTTCCGTGGGGGAAAGGGGACCTGTCAGCATCTCCAGGACAGCATGTGGGTCTGATATGCCCCTTATTAAGAATCGCTTGGCCAGTATCTTATCTAATGGAATTGGAACTGGCCAATAGAATGGGGTGAGTCAAGACCCGTCATCTATACCAGTGGCTTCACAAAGGAACTTTGGTCCTTTTAAACCAAAAGAACCAGGTCTCTGAAGGCATGGGCTGCAAGGGGTGAGTGTGCAGGCATATACATGTGCAGTGGTGGGTCCAGTCTGTCACGTGGAGGTGGGTGTGTGTGTCCAGGACTGGGTGCTGCCACAGCTCCCAGGGCTTCTCCCTGTGGCAGTGCGTTTACTGCCTCTGTTGTGAGGGGAATGGTGATTTCAGTGCCATAAAGCTTGGTGGAAAACTGAGATGCTGGCAGTGCTCCATCCTCCTAAGCCTCAGTACCAGAGGTTGGTGGGGGAGAGGGAGAAGGGAAAAGGAGAGAACGCCACTGTCCCAGAATTCAGCTTCTCTGCTCCATGCTATCCTGGGGGTTTCAGGTGAATGGCTGAGCTGTTCGGGCGGGCAGCCAAGATGTAGATGACATTCTCCCGCAGGAAGGTAGGCCAGTCCACAGATCTAGAATAGAATCAAAGGGCAGGTTTGTGAGGCTGTTGCAGAGCCCGGAGGCTCATGTGACCTGATCCCAGTGTCAGTGCGGCTTGAGTTGGACGAAACTCCGGGAGCCCTGGATTGTGCCTGACACGGTTATGGCCAACTGTGCTTCCAAGCTGACAGACCAGCTGGCAGGCCCTAAGGATCTGTGGTCAAATGTGCACTCTTGGAGCCTGGTTTCTGGGGTGAGCACTTGCTGTTTGGGGGTGACAAGGGGTAATGCCCTCTCTTACTTGTGTGTGTTGGGTGGTTGGGGGAGCACACAGCCAGTTGAGATCCCACTCACCTGGATTCACGCTCTGTGGGCATCAGGGCCTTGTCCTGACTCTTGCTGCTGCTGCTGGCTGGGCTGCTGTCTGCTATGGGACCCACATGGCTGATGCTGTTGGGCACAAGGGCATTGGAGTGAAAAGCCTGGCCCCTCCCAAACTCTGGTGAACCCGTGTGCACGTCTAGGCTTTCTGATACGGGACAACAGTTTGGAGTAGAGACGGCCCCATGCCTTGGCCAGTAGGGGTCACTGTCCTCTGTCTAATGCACAGGAGGATCCTCTCCTGGCTGTTGGCAGGCGAAGCCGGGAGGACATTTCCTATTCATGGCCACTTGGGTGGGAAAGGAGGGTATGTAGTGGGGGCAGGGATTGGTAGGGAGCGGACCTGACGCTGGAGGAAGGAGCCTCTGGGAGGTGTTTGTGGAACCAGGAGTGCCGTGCACGGTGGCACTCTGCCTCACTGATGGCGCTCCCACTGCCCCAGGCCAGGAAGGTGGCCCGGGCTCGCTCCCGCTCCTTGACTGTCAGAAGCCTTAACAGAGAGTTCTGAGGAAGAAGAGACAAGTTAAGATCTTGGAGGTAAAAATATTTTGTAAACTGTCAAGCCACAGAGAATTTTACCTCCATTACCACCTCTGCAACCTCCCTTTGCGGCAGCCCAGAGCCTTTCTGGTAACACCAACATTCGCAGTGGAGTCCAGTGCAGATCAGTCTTCCTTGGGCAGTTTCCTCGGCCTAGGCACTGGGTCACCTGCCACTGGACGGAACCTGAGCCCTTTTCTGGTACTGGTCCCTACTCAGAGAGTACCCAGTGTTCCCCCAACCTGCCCAGCATGCTTCCAGGTGTCTGTCACCCAGTAATCCATAGACATTCACATCAGCTGGCCCTTACCTGGGGACGCAATTGCTGCAGAAGTAGGAGGGACTCATGGGACAAGAAGTCAGGCCACTCTATGTGTCCTCGATGTTCAGGGTCCAGGGCTGCAAACTGGTGGGCTGCCTGCTCCTCTTGCTCCTCGCTTAAAGCCCTGTCACTGTCCCCCCGCTTTGCTGCTTGGTGGCGGTAGCGCAGGAAGTCCTCCCGCGTCAGAGAGCAATCTATGGGGAGGCACCACATGCTAGCCATGCCCACTCCTTCCTCATCCTATGGGGCACCTCCATTCACCTCTAGGGTACCCTCCAGAGCCCCTATATCCACAGCTCTTGTAGAGTCTTTATCTCCCATCACTAGAATGACTCAGGCTGTGGCTGAGTGTGGGTGCCCCTGCTGGCCAACAGCTTGGGAACAGGGACCTATTTACCCCTTAACCCCCAAATTCCACGATATTCCTTTCATCCTGGAAAGTATGATGGAGAAATCAGCCCAGCCCCTCTCCATCCAGCAGCACCATCCGGCCTTACCAGGGATGACTTTACACTGCTGAAAGGTCTCTGTGAGGCTATACATCTCCTCCTCAGTTAGCAGCAAGTTGAGATTGTTCTGAGAAAAAAGAAAAAGAAGAGCTGAGTCAGTGGCCACATAGGCCAGTAAGAAAGAAAGGCCAACGATCCAGAGACATGGAAACAGTATTTCAACTGGAAGGCAATCGTGAGATCATGTAAACCTAGTCTCTCATTCACAATCAAGGAGAAAGGGGAAAGGGCTTGCTTAGAGTTGCTCAACTGTGGGGCAGGGTCTTCCCCAGAACCAGGTATCCTGACTCCAGACCTGAGTCCCTTTTACGAAAACAGTTATTTAAAATTATTTTCTGAGGTACTCTGGAAGTGCCTTAGGAAGCTGTGGCAAGCGAGAACGTGGACTAGAAAGTGGAGTTGTGAATCCCTGGCCCCGTCCACCAGGGAAGCTCCATCTTTATCCATTTTAGGGAACTGGCTTCTGTGTTAGATGGTGCTCAAGAGTATTTTAGCTTAAAATAATGTTAACTGTAACTCTGCTCCTAATGGGTTGTATCACTCCAAAGTGGTTTTGAAAGAGATGCCATTATGACAAAGTTCCTAGAATCAAATGAGGTTTTTTTTGTGGTGCCATAGAAGTTTTAATTCCAAAAGAGCACTGGTGTGTTATTTTGTTAACATTCATTTACAGTATCGCAGTCTTTAAAATATCAAAGATTCTTTCTAGTAGGTTATTTCCCTCCTCCCCTAAAATACCAGCAAAGAACAGGAAGCAGACGTTTCATGAATATTCACTTGTGCATTTCATAAAGAACTCAAACCATTCTTTCAGTAAACACTTACTGAGAACGTTGTATATGCTGGGCACAGTGGTGTGTAACACTGTGAGATGTGCACTAAGGCTGGAGTGTAGCGTATGTGTGTGGGGAGAGCAGGAAGGAATGATAAAAGGGAGGGGAGGTAGGCAGAAGCCTGGCTATGATACCTCAAATACCCTTTATTGATCCCCTCAAATTGGGCCTTTATTCTGAGCGCAAAGGGGAGTCACTGAAGGGTTTTGAAGTGTGGAGTGCAATGGTGAAATTTTTGACTGCTGTGTGGAAAATGGATTAGAGGGGCAAAGCCTGGAGGCATGGAGAGCAGTTAGGTGGCTGTATAAAGTATAGATGAGCGGCTAAACTAAAGCATGAGAATGGAGAGAGTTGAGAGGTATTAGGAAGTTGGCTCAATAGGACCTGTTGACCTACTAGATGTGAGGAATGAAAGAGAGAGATAAGTTGGGATTGGTAACTGGGGGTGGGGGGGGGCGGGTAGGGTGAAGTGGTATTCACAGAGATAAGAAATGGAAGGAGAACAGGTTTTAGGAGAAAGATAAGTTCATTTGGGGGCATGTTGAATATGAAGTACATGTAAAGCATAGAGATGAATATAAGTCCAAGAGACAGAGAAAATTTAGTTTTGGACACACAGATTTGAGAATCATTAGTGTTTAGATCAGCGGTTCTCAACCTGTGGGTCGAGACCCTTTGGGGGTTGAACGACCCTTTCACAGGGGTCACCTAAGACCATCGGAAAACACATATATAATTACATATTGTTTTTGTGATTAATCACTATGCTTTAATTATGTTCCATTTGTAACAATGAAAATACATCCTGCATATCAGATATTTACATTACGATTCATAACAGTAGCAAAATTACAGTTATGAAGTAGCAACGAAAATAATTTCATGGTGGGGGGTCACCACAACATGAGGAACTGTATTAAAGGGTCGCGGCCTTAGGAAGGTTGAGAACCACTGGTTTAGATGGTGGCTAGAGGAGGCCAGGGATGTTGCTAAAAATCCTACAATGCACACAGCTCCCACAACAAAGAATTATTGTGCAGTACTGAAGTAGGGAAATCCTATCCTAGCTCTAGGACCCTTATATCTACTATTGGGACACTCTTTAGGTCACTGCCTAGAAACCGGTGTTCTAAGACTGGGCCTCCAGAAAAAGCGCCATGTCCTTGAGGTGCAGCAGCCCACGGCCCCTGCAGCCCCGGCTCACACAGTAGTGGCAGCTCCAGCCTGTTTCCGTGTGTGCCATCTCGGTCACCTCTGCTGCACCGTCTCCTTGGATGTAGCCCATGCGACGCAGGCAGCCATCATGAAAAACCCTGGTGCAGACCCTGCATGGGAAGAGGCTCTCGGCCGTCCAGACCTCACAGACATCGCACATCTCATCACTGACGACCTGGGGAAAGATGGCAGGAATGAACGGGGATGTGCAGCAAGATCCTCCGGCCACCAAGCGCAGAGCTACCCATATAGGGCTGAGTCTCCCTGGAGCAGCCTAGAGAAACAGCTCCAACTGGAGGCAGTGTTAAAGCAGTATTTCTCATCTTGTCTCTGGAAGACAAGAACCAGCAGGCTCTTCCAGCTGCTCAGGCCTGTGTGACCATGTTTCTCAACAGGAATGCTACTACCATTTTTGGAAAGAATAATCTGTTGTGAGAGATTGTCCCAGGCATTGCAGGACACTTAGCATCCTGATTTTCTTGGCACCAAATACCAGTAGCAACTCCCACAGTTACTGTGACCTCCCCAAACTCTCCCCACCCCACTAATTTCCAAATGCTCCCTACACGGGGTAGTACTATCCCTAAGGTGGGAAGGCTGGCAGAAGACCTACCATGGTATCAGTCCTTGTCACCTACTGCCTCGAGTCTTTCACTAAGACTAATCCAGAATGTAACTAACAATTTTATTCTTGTGGAAGAAACTCAAAGATCGTTCTAGAGTGAACGCCATCTTTCTGGTTTTGAGTCTCACTTTAACCATACCCAGGCCTCCCTGTCTTGCTTCCTGATCCTCAGAAGGTCTAAAACTTGGTGAATCCTCCCTAACTGGACACTCACAGGCTCTCTGGGTTCCAAGCAGATATCTGGAGGCTTGTCATCATCCAGCTTCCGGGTAGGGCGGATGAAGGCAGGAGGGGTAAAACGATTGTTCCTGTCAAACTCCTCAGGTTCCACTCCACGCCCATCTCGGAGCCTCTCCCAGGCTGCACGGTTGATGCTGCTCTCTTCTTGGAGCACGGAGGTGCTTGCCTCTGCTTCTTTCTCCTCCTGCACCTCCTGGACAGAGCCCTCTACAGTGTCATGGTGGGACCCTGGAAGCTCACCTGTGCGCTGGTTGGAAGGCCTGTCCCGCAGCCCATCCTTGAAAGCAGACACGGCCAGGCTCACCTTCTGTACCTGCTCCACTGTCTGCCGCTTGGACATCAACACCCCCATGGCTCTGTGAGCAAAAAGCAGAGGGGCCCGGACTCAGCTAATGGCTGACCATGTTGAGCCAATCAGTTTCAAGCATTTACCTAAGTGGCAAATGTTATTAAATAGTTTCTCTCTCTCTCTCTCTCTCTCTCTCTCTCTCTCTCTCTCTCAAAGGGAGGGAGGAGAGGAACATTGATGTGAGAGAGACATATCAATTTGTTGCCTCTTGCATGTGTCCAGACTGGGTGGGATTAGACCTGCAACCCAGGTACGCGCCCTTGACTGTGAATTGAACCTGTGACCCTTAGTATGTGGACTGATGTTCTAACCACTGTGTAACACAGGCCAGTGCAGTTGCTTTTTTTAAAAAACTCAGTAGTGGTGGGGTGGAAAGAGCAATTGTTAAGGAGTCAGAAGACCTTGGTTCTATTTCTGACTGGTCTTATGACTTGGTTTTTTCCCCATCTATGAAATGAGACTCTCTGCTCACCGTACTTCATAGGGCTGTCATGAAGATAACATTAGTTCATGGGCTTACCTGTGCTTAGTAGACTGGGAAGCACAATGGTATTTCTATCATCTGTCCTGTCCCAAAGCCAATTAGGTTCAGGGATCCCAGGCCTCCGCTACTTTGAGGTGGTTGGAGACCTCAGAGCCCAAGTCTCTCTTCTGCCCCACAAGATGACCCAAGGCTTAATGTAAGACTACAGCAACATATTTCAGCCTTCTGATTTAAGGGAAGCTCCTCCAGTAAGAGCTGTGCACAACCCATCCAGGGATAATCCACATCAAATGCCTACTTTTTGAGTCAGAGTGAATGAACTCCCATTTCCAGAGGATTCCTGAATAGGTAGTCAGGAAACGCTACCATGTGGTCAAAGTCACAAACTCTCCTTTGCCCCCTAGTTAATAGCTGTGCCTCTGTAGGGGTCTGTTTATCTCAGCCCACCCAACAACTGGCCCATGACAAGCTCTAAGGTGCTTCTCACATTTGTGAGGCTTCATTCATGTCACTCCCACATTTTCCTGCTTTGATTTTTCTGAACCTTTCAAGAAGGTCCATATCCTTTACAGGTTAAAAAGTAACATCATCCCTGCTCTTCCTCCGCAGAGCATGGCATTGGAAAGTGAGGGCACATTACAAAGCTGTTTGCTATTTCCCAGCCTACAAAGCTGTTTGCTATTTCCCAGCCTGAGGGGCCTTAGTGGATTCAGCGGGGGGAATGCTTGTTCTACGTAAAGTGGAGCAGGGTGCATTTTAGCCTTGCTCTCTATCCATTATAATCAAGGCTTATTGAACAGTACTTTGTGCAAGGCACTAACCACTCATCACAGGAAATAGAAGACAGGAGAAGTCTTACCACTCAAGCTACTTAATATCAAAACTCAAAGAAGAATAAGACAAAGTGCTGAAGTGCTTAAACGAAGGTGAGACCACACTACTGGGAGCCAGCGTGGATCCTGAAGGACGGGTCAGAAGTTACCCTCTGTTTGTTTGTGGGAAAAGGTGACAGAGGGTAGGAGAAAAGCTTAGGGCCAATTAGAAGGCTATTATAATAGTCCAGGCAAGATGTAGAGGGTTTAAACGGAAATGATGGCAGCAGGAATGATGATGACTAAGTGTATTTGATACCATGTAAATAGAATTGGAGAAACTTAGGAATAAAATAATTGATTGGTCAAGGGTAAAGAGAGAGAGGGCAGTTTTATATTTACCTCCCAGCTTTATTGAGATATAAGTGACATATAACATTGTGTAAATTAAGGTATACAATGTGATGATTTGATACATACACACACACACACACACACACACACACACACACACACACGGGGCCCAGTGCACGAATTCATGCACCTTGAAAGGAACTGTGGGCCACGGTGAGCACAGGGGCGGGTCTCGGCCCATCCTCCAAGCCCCTGCCCAGCCCCTCCTGCTCTGGCCCTGGTCCCCTGTATGCCGGCAGCCTTGCTCCCACCTCTGCTCCCATGCACTGACAGCGCAGGCCGCTCACACCGCTGAAGGTGCAGAGTGATTGGGGCCAGCACCAGCAGCGGGTGTGAGCGGGCCGGCGCTGTCAGTGGGTGCAAGTGGCCGCTGCTGCCCCAATCGCCCTTCAGGAGCAGGGGGAGGTGGAGAAGTCTTCAGGGACGATCAGGGCTGGCAGCCGCTGCTTGCACCCACTGATGGCGCCCAGTGATCAGGGCTGGCGCTGGGCATCAGCAGCTGGTGCGTGTGGGGCCAGCGCTGGCAGCAGGCGCAAGCACCAAGCCAGACTGTGGCATGTGGGAGCAAAGAATTTTCAGGAACCACCAGAGCCCACCCCGATGACAGCGACCGGCGCCCCGCCTTGGTCTGGTGCCCTCGCTCACCTGCTCCACCATCCCGCCACGGCCAACGCCCGCCATGTTTTGTGCACACCCCCTGGTGGTCAGCACACATCATAGCTACCAGTTGTTCGGTTGTTCCGCCGGTTGGTTTATTTGCATATTAGCCTTTTATTATATAGGACTGTGAAGTTTTACTATAATAATGTTACTTAGCACATCTTTTACCCCACATAATTATTATATTGTTGTTATGGTGAGAACATTAAAGTTGAACTCTTATTGCAACTTTCAAGTATATAATACAACATTGTTAACTGAAGTCATCATGCTGTACCTTAGATCCTGGAACTTACTCATCTTGTAACTGAACGTTTCTACACTTTAGCCAGCATCTCCCCATTTCCCCGATCCCCCAGTCCCTGGCAACCATCTGTTTCTATGAGTTCAATGTCTTTTGATTCCACATATAAGTGAGACTATACAGTATTTCATTCAGTCTTCCTCTGTCTGACTTATTTTTTTAAATAATTTTTATTGAATTTATTGGGGTGACATTGGTTAATAAAATTATATAGGTTTCAAGTGTACAATTCTTTAAAAATGTGACCTAACGAGGGTATCCAGCCAGGGTGGGGTTGGGGGTTGGGGTGGAGAGGAAGGCACATGTGTATGTTAGAGCTTTTGTGGAGGCTATGGACCTAGGGGATTCTTGAAGAGGCAGGGCCTATGTTCCCCTCACAAGCACAGCTGTGCTCTATAGTTAGATGGGGAAGCAAGTTCCAACAGGCAGTGAGAAGGGCAGGAACAGGCACGCCACACCAAGAGGGACAATGCAAAATGACACGCACCTTCACTGCAGACCTTCCTCATGATCAATTACTATTTCCAAGGCCACAATATTTTCCTCAGAAACCTTTTGTGGTATGTTTTTCAAAATTTTTAACTGTGACCCATAGCAAGAAATATAGTTTATGATGTGACCCTGTACACACATAGTTATAAACAAATGTTCATAGATCTGAAACTGAACCCAAACTTTTGTGAAACAATCCTACTTTTACTATACGTGCTGTTCTCTGAGATTTTCTATCTCCTCTATTCTATGTCATTAAAAATAACCCTGATAGTGACTCTAAAATGATTTCATGACTTGCTAATGGGTCTGGACTTGCAATTTGAAAAAACACAGCCTTAGGATCATTTTACAGTTTTGATTAGAGAACTACACTTTTGTTGTTGTTAATCCTCACCCAAGGATACTTTTTCCATTGTTTTTAGAGAGAGTAGAAGGGAGGGAAGTAGGGAGGGAGGGAGGGAGAGAGAGAGAGAGAGAGAGAGAGAGAATGTGAGGGAGACACACTGATTGGTTGCCTCCCACACGTGCCCCAGCTGGGGTCGAGGATCAAACCTGCAACCCAGGTACATGCCCTTGGCCAGGAATTGAACCCGCAGCCCTGTCGTCCGCGGGCCGATGCTCCAACTACTGAGAAACACCAGCCAGGGCTACACATTTGTCTTTTGATTTAAAGATGGTTACCTATAAAAGACCAGGACAACATTGTGGGGTATAAGGTAACTTTCCCCTTGGCTAAAGTGATATAAGAACAGAATTCTCAAGCTTGTCTTAAGAATCTATGTGGTTAGGAGGTCTAGCTGAGGTGGACAGCTACTAGTATTACTCTTTGAAGAAAACCCTACTCTATGAAAGGCTGATCTTCTGCCCTTTAGACATATTTAAAATAATGTTTATTAGGGAATTGTTTACAGTTATTTAAAGGTGAAAACAACCTCAACGGGAATGCAGTCTAGAGCAATGATTCTTTTTTTTTTTTTAATATATTTTATTGATTTTTTACAGAGAGAAAGGGAGAGGGTTAAAGCGTTAGAAACATTGATGAGAGAGAAACATCGATCAGCTGCCTCTTGCACACTCCCTGCTGGGGATGTGCCTGCAACCAAGGTACATACCCTTGACCGGAATCGAAACCTGGGACCCTTGAGTCTGCAGGCCGACGCTCTACCCACTGAGCCAAACCGGTTTGGGCAAGAGCAATGATTCTTAAGTGGTGAACTGGGCAGGTGGGAGGTGTCTATAAGACACTCCCGGTGCCCTGGCCAGTGTGACTCAGCCGGTTGAGCATCCTCCTGTGAACTGAAAGGTTGTTGGTTTGATTCCTGGTCAGGGCACATGCCAGATTGCAGGTTTGGTCCCTGGTTGTGGGAGGCAACTGATCTATGTTTCTCTCTCATCTCTCTCTCTATCTCCCCCCCCTTCATCTCTCTCTCTAAAATCAATAAAAACATTAAAAAAATAAAGAAACTGCCAGAGGAGGGGGAATAAATGAGTGAATTGAAAAGCACATCAATTATAATATGTGTTTGGAAAACAAATATTAAAAGCCATTACCCCCCTTCTTTTGAAACATGCTCTGTAATACAGCGGATATTTACAGTATCTTCTTGGCTGTTGGGGATATATAGAAGGTACTAGCTCCCTAAATAGTTTGGGAAGCCCCTGCCAGAAGTTGTATCAGAAGTTCAGGGAGCAGTCATCACATTTATGTTTATCAGCAAGAAGACATGGGTTGGGAAAAAAGTTCAAAAAACACTTATTTGGAGACCTGGAATAACCATATACAATTCATTTTTCCAAGACTGATTCAGTGGAGGAAAATCAATGGTATGCTTTTGGTT